GAAATTGTGACAAAATCCACCACCAAAGTAAAGTTGGGTAACTCACCAGAGCTCCATGCTGATCAATCTCTAGAACAGCAAAAAAACGCTTTTTGCTCTGGGAGCAGATGCAATGAATCAACTTCTCAGGTGTGATGATCAATAGCTACACAATCATCCATAAGGTAGGTATCCACCACTCAATATAATGGTTCCAGGAGCATTATATCACTCTCTCTTTTTATATCTCTCCACCGAGGTCATGTTTGGGAATGAAAGAGAAAATCATGGTGCAGCCAGTTTTTTTTATAAAAGTATCCACCAATTTAATAAAGATTTACACTCACAAAACGGGTGTCTTCACCGACACCAGTATAACAGCATAAAACAGCAAATGGTATAACAGTCTCCTGTTCCCCGCACACTCACTACAGCGCTTGTGACTCAATTTTCTCCACAGACGTCAACATCCAGCAAGCCAAGCCCTACTAGTTTCGTCATGAATGACGTCTTCAAGGGGCGGCATCCGACACTTTGCATTGCACTTGGTGATGTAAGGCTTGGATACCGCTGCTCAACCATGGAAACCCATACCATGAAGCTGTTGTTGTGCTAATCTGAAGGCTACATGAAGTTTGGAGGTCTTTAGCTATTGACTGTGCAGACAGTTGGCGACTTCGGCGTACTGTGCGCTTCAGCATGTGCTGACCCCGCTCTGTCATTTTACTTGGCCCACCAGTTCATGGTTGAGTTGCTGTTGTTCCCAGTTGCTTCCACTTTGTTATAATACCACAACAGTTAACAGTGGAATATTTAGTAGCAAGGAAATTTCACAAATGGACTTATTGCACAGGTAACAACCTATCACTCTTGAATTCACTGAGCTCCTGAGAGCGACCCATTCTTTGACAAATGTTTGTAGAAGCAGTCTGCATGCCTATGTGATTCAATTTATACACCTGTGGCCATGGAGATGATTGGAACATCTGAATCCAATGATTTGGAGGGGTGTCCCAGTACTTTTGTAAAAATGGTGTATCAAAAATTGTTTGCTATATTCATATCTTAGCTGTAAAAGACATATTAGGAAAGGATCCTTTCTTACTTTTCAGATGAATAGTGGTAAATAAATTCTTCATATCATTAGAATTGCCAACATAGTTCTGGATTTAGGAGGTGAAACTTTTGTAATCAAGGAGTCCTGGAAGAATCTTGTAATTTTTTTCCTAAAATGTTGCTTAAATTGTAGACCCTTCAAATATACTGAGCACAGCACCTAATAGTGAAATCCATAGGGTCACTTTTTATGGGTGCCAGTCAGTATGCTAAAATAACAGGGGAGGACTTGGGAATTTTGTCCTTGGAGCAATTAACCCTTTCACAGTAGGGATAGGTTTCTCTGGTCTAAAGAATTTGTACTACTCAGTGTTCAATGGTGTCATATTGGTAGGTATGGTAAACAGCAGAACAATGTAGCACAGAAGAGAGTGCACCGATCTTGTGCAATAACTAAAACAATGACTAAACAACTTTGCTAGTACAACTTAAAGGTCTTACAGGACAACTTCATGTGCCAATTGGTGGATGCCCCCACCTGAAATATTGCACTGATAGACCTATCAATTAAAAATGGCACAGATCTGATAGCACATGTGGAAATAAAGAACAACTTGGAATCCAGCGATTACACTATAATTATATTCAGCATAGATCATAGGAAAAGGAGGCACATGGGTAGTGCAAGAGCACTATATCTCAAGAGAGACAACTTTTCTAAACTGCACTCATTAATACAAAATATTAAATGGGAACAAATCCTAGAAGCATTGAACACCTAGGAACATATTAAATATAGGTATTAGCCAGTGCATTCCAATAGGCAACAAATATAAAATAGCCAAGATTAAACCTGGGTGGCTAGTCTTTGAAGTGAAAATACATATTAAAGAAAAAAAGTAATTTAAATAAATTATAAGGCATAGGAGTCATTGCTGGCATTGCAACACCACAAGGAATGCAATAAGAAGTGTAAGAATCCAATCAGGGCAGCTAAGGTAGATTACAAGAGACACATCGCGAGGAGAATAAAATAATCCCCAAAAATTCTTTAAATGTATTAATACCCTGTTTCCCCTAAAATAAGACCTACCCCGCCATTCCGCCACCTCCGACACTAGCCTTGCTCACACCCATATCTACTGTCTCTTATAAACACAGAAGCACGGCTGAAGTGACAGCACCATCCACTCCCACAGAACCTCCCTACCTCTGTACTCACTGTGGGACAGGGAAGGAACAGATATCTGCGGGTGCAGTATGCAGTGTGTTTAGGGGCGGGGCATCTCCTCCTGCAGCCTAATGCATGGAAGCCGATGCCCCAGGGTGATCACCAGCCAGTGGGGAAGAGGCTGAGTGGAGAGTAAGTGCGCTTGGTGCACTGTGTGGGAAGATAGGACCCGAAATGGGAGTTACTATAGAGAGGGACCGGCTGCTGACAGCTGTGTTTTGCAAAGCTAGCTAACAATATGAGGGCAGTGGAAGGGGAGGGGGGGGGGGGTGTGCAAAGGTGAGCTGCAGTCAGGTGTTGCAGAGGTAAAATGAGTTAGGTGAGTTGCAGACAAGGTGCATAGGTGAGCTGTGGCTGGGGGGGTGCAGAGGTGAGCTGAGTTGCAACCCATCTTTGCACCCCCCAGCCACAGCTCAGCTCTGCACCCCCTGGCCACAGCTCAGCTCTGCATTCCCCATCTGCAACTCACCCCTACACCCTGTCTGAAACTCACTTGTCAAGTCACCCCTGCAACATATGACTGCAGCTCACAACTATCATTAGTCGGCCCTCTCCATAGTAACCCTCATCCACAACTGCCTGCAGCTCACCTCTGCACCCCCTGTCCACACTTGGACATTTAAAAAATAAGACCGACCCCGAAAATAAGACCTAGTGTATTTTTTTTGAGCCAAAAAAAAATAAGACAGTGTCTTATTTTCGGGGAAACACGGGTAGTAAAAAGGCAAGGTCAGAACATATTGGAATGATGAAGAGAAGTTGGTTACAAATATCAAGGAGAAGGCTGTACTAAATGCATTCTTCTCAGTTTTTTCCAAAGGAAAAGGAGGGGTATAGTAATCAAGAATGTATCATTAGTAATGCATCACAGTATGTACCCTTGTGGCTTACAGAAGTGAGTGTACGAAAAAGACTTGAATAGCTTAACGCAAATAAATCACCAGGACCAGATGGTTTACATCCGAGGGTCCTCAAAGAACTCAGTCAGGTTTAAGCTAGACTGCTATTCCTAATTTTTATGGACAGCATACTGACAGGAATGGCACCAGCGGATTGGCAAAGGGCCAACATGGTACCAATATTTTAAAAAGAGCAGAGATATACCTGAAAACTACAGGTAAGTCAGTCTAGCATCAATAATATGTAAACTTCTGGACAGGATGTTAAAGGACTATATCCAAGATTTTGCTATTGAATATATCATTAGTAGTAATCAGCATTGCTTTACGAAGGTCGTTCTTGCAAAACCAACCTGTTAACATTCTGTGAGGAACTGGGCTGCCATGTAGATAAGGGAAGGCATGTGGTTGTGGCGTACCTAGATTTTGCAAAGGCATTCGATACAGTTCCCCATAAGCACTTAATTTACAAACTAAGGTCTGTAGACTTAGACCATAGGATTGGTATATGGATAGAAAACTGGTTACAGGGGGGTGTCCAAAGGGTGGTGATAAACAATGTGTACTCTGACTGGTCTGGAGTGGTAAGTGTGGTACCACGGGGCTCTGTCGTGGGAGCAATTCTGTTTAATTTATTCATAAATGATATAGAGAATGGGCTACATAGCTCAACCTCAGTTTTTGCTGATGATACAAAGCTAAGCAGGGCAATAACTTCACAGCAGGATCTAGAATCTTTGCAAGAAGACCTCAATAAAATAAAGGGGTAGGCAACTACATGCAAATGAGGTTTAATGTTGAAAAATGTAAAGTAATGTACATGAGGGCTAAAAATATGAATGCAAGTTATTAGGGGCAGAAACCAAATTCAAGATAGGAAAAAGTCTGAGGGTCCTAGTTGATGACAGACTCAACAACGGCATGCAATGCCAAGCTGAAGCAAGAAAAGCTAGCAGAATATTAGCATGCATAAAAAAGGCTATTTACTCAATACATAAAACCTACCACTTTATAAAACTCTGATTTGGCCACATCTAGAGTATGTAGTAAGGGGACTGGAGGACCTCAGTTATGAGGCATGACTACAACCATTAAACTTATTCTCCCTGGAGAAGAGACGCTTGGGAGGAGATATACAAATACCTCAATGGTGATTCTAGCATAGGGAATAAACTATTCAGTCTGAGGGAGAATAAGAAGACACAGGGTCACTCAGTGAAATTGGAGGAGAAGCAGTTTAACCTAAAACTGTATTGGGGGTTTTTCATTGTCAGGGCGGTAAGGGTGTGGAGTTACTTTCATAATCAGTAGTGTCAGTGGGAAGTATTGATAGTTTAAAAAAAAACCCCTTAGATGGGCATCTTAGCAAGCACAATATACAAGGATATGGGATAGGACTTTTGGCATGAACACACACTTCCACACGTTGAACTTGATGAACTGGTGTCTTTATTCAACCTTACCAACTTAGTAAATAAACATATAAAATGCACTTATATGGAGTAGGAAAAGTTTGAGCATAACAACGACCTTGCTGATCATTCCACGTTCAAGAGTAATGCAAGACAATCTGTTACCTTTGCCCAGGTCTAGGTGGGGGGACTCAGAGAGGACTTTTATTGAATTAGTGGAACAGTTGGTCCCAGTGTCCACTGTTCCACAATCAGCAAGGGCATTGATATGCTCAACCTATTCCTACTCTATGAAAGCACAATTTAGATGTTTTTACTATTAAAGTTCCTTAACCACTTCCTGTCTGGCCCATGTACATAAACGGCTGGACAGGAGCACTGCAGGAGCTGGTTGCCATTCATAAACAGTGGCCGCGTTTTCACCCTGTGCGCACTCCCTGGTAGCGCGGAGCACCGCAATCTGGTGCCCTCTGTGTCCTCCGGACACAGCGGAACACTGATCGCTGTATGGGACTCTGTGTGAGGTCCCGATCATGTGATCACTAATTGGCCAATCAGTGATCACATGAATAGTAGTAAGCAAGATGTCACTTCTGACATCATTGCTTACTACGTGTAAAATCTGTGAATGATCACAGAGGTCACATGGTACAAGGCTATTTACAACAGCCTTGTACCATGTGACAAGCTGTGACCAGTCACAGCTCTCACAGTATTTCTCAATGGCTGGAAGAATGCAGAAATGATTGCTTTTACAGCCTTATGTGTGTAAAAGCAATCAGTGTAAAAAAAAAAAAAATCTTCATCACCCCCCACAAGTAGTACAGTGTCACTATGGTGACAATGTACTGCTAGGGTGAACGTATGTTAAAAAAATAAATAATAATATAAAAAATTAAATAAAAATGTAAAAAAAAGATTTTTGAAAAATTATAATTTTTGGTTATAAACTAATTTGGGTTATTTTTTTTTTGCTAAAAAGATAGCTCAATACATTTTGGCCAAGATTTATAAAGAAAGATTATATATTTGCAACATTTTATAAGGAAAACACTTTTTTTAAACATTTTTGGACTTTTTCATTTATATAGCAAAAAAAATAAAAATCCCAGTGGTGAGTAAATACCACCAAAATAAAGTTTTATCTGTCTCAAAAAAATGCTAAAAAAATCAAATTGGGTACAGTGTTGCATGACCGCACAATTGTCATTCAAAGTTTGACAGCGCTTAAAGCTGAAAATTGGCCTGCACAGGAAGGGGGTGAAAGTGTTCGGACTTGAAGTCGTTAACACAATTGGTACACTCTCTTTTGTGTTTTAATATTTAATGGTTCAAGAGCATCCCTTGTGCTGTTTGGAGAGCTGGAAGATCTTCTTGTGCTATATACATGTGAATGAACTGACAAGGACCACTTATATGGACTAACGAGCGCAGAGCATTTTCTTGGTGAAAAGTGAATGTTTCTAGGAGATGTGGTTTCTTGTGACACACCTTTTCACATCTTCTATCATAGCCCCCTTGTGGCACTCGGCATTCAGTCATATGACATTTTTAAACTGCAAAGGAAGTTTGTGTTAGAAGATTTCCTTGTGCTCAAAGATGTGATCTCAGGCCTGAATGGGGACCAGGCAACTATAAGACACTGCAGGTTCACTCTGATTGATATCTGAATGATGAAGTATCTCCACTCAGGGCTCCGAGACCAACATATCATATAGTACTGGTCCAGGGGGTAAAGGCCTATCACATTCAGCACGTATTATTAAAATGTCCATATCACGTGGATCAACTGCCTGTTTTTACTGCCTCCCTGAGCACCTGTGTGAGAGGAACCCTAAAGGAAGTGGAAAATCAATAGATCTACTGGCTGAATCAACAGGTAATAAATATGTCATTTTTGCTTTTGCACATAGTTGTACCTTACATTGGCACGATCAGGCAATAATCATCTAATGTTTGCAGGCACCTTTAAAACAGCTTTATTTGAATATCTAATTTAATTGTATAAATACTAACAATAGTTAATGATAAACTTATGTTCATAAAATATTGGTCAGGGCACTCTAACCAGACAGATGTGCCAATGTTAACCTAAGTTAATGGCTAACTGATTAAAATGTTTGGGATTCATATGACCGATGGCTATTATAACATAATATAGAAATAAGTACTATATATATATATTGCAGAAAAAAATAGAAAGTTGATAATACTTTAGGTAACATTTAACTAGAAAACCTTTGGTGAGATGGAGATATTAATATCACTTTCATATTTTTAGCTACTTCATCAAAGGATCAGTTTTCGCTTTTTAGTAGTACATCAATTTCCCCAAATAATAACTTTTTTTTCTTTAAGATTTTCAACTGAATAAAGAAAATATTTACAAGACAAAAAGTTTTTTTTCTCTTTTATATAAACATGTTTGCTATTTTCATGGCAATGAAAAGTAAAACAAATTTTTTTAAAAAGAATACAAGATTTTACAAGCTCCCTTCAAACTTTTAAAAATGTATTAAACAATAAATTAGGCACAGTATAAAAATTTCTCTATTAACAGTTTTAAGTGTGCAGAAAAATAAAGCACATACTCCCTAAAATGTATTCAGTCTTGTTTTCCTACTGCCTGCCAAAAAACTAAACAAAAACTTATAATTCTAAGCTTTGTGAGAAATCTTTTTTTCATTTACAAAAGCGACTTGAGACCAGGCTGAAAGTGGTAGTAAACACCGCCTGCTCACTTGACTCTACTGGTAAGCTTATAATAAAGGAGTATTTTCTCCTAAATGTACACCGTTTAGGGAATATTCACTACTTCTCCAGCGGTTGATGTCACCATTGCATGCGAACTGCTCACTGAAGAAACACATGCTTTCCCTTCACAGCCAGGGGTGGACTGACCATTTGGAAACTCGGGCACTGCCCGAGGGCCCTGGGTCAGTAGGGGGCCCCATGAGATGCCCCTGGTACCCTTTTCATAGGCTTTTTTGAGTTTGGGCAAGGCCACAGGGGCCCCATGATCCCATATTGCCCGGGGGCCCCATGAGTTGTCAATCCGCCCCTGTTCACAGCACTGTGCCACAGCCATGACTGTTGTGCGCATGTGCAAATGTGGAGTCATTATAGCTCGACCATTCAAACAGCTGGAGCCTGTGAACCCTGAAGGAAGACTGGGGGACGACAAGACAGAAACCCTGTCAGCAGCAACAGCTTTTGGAATGCGGGAAGGTTTCGTAAGTCACTCATAATATGATAGTTTACAATGCATACTAGCACGTCATGCTCCTAACCACATCAATACCGGGCAGTTTTACCCCCTTCCTGCCCAGGTCAATTTTCAGCTTTCAGAACTGCCACACTTTGACTATTGCGTAGTAATGCAACACTGTACCCAAACTAAATTTTTATTGTTTTGTTCACACACATTTATTTATTTATTTATTACAGGTACTTATATAGCGCCATCAATTTATGCAGTGCATATATATTATACATTCACATCAGTCCCTGACCCTCAAGGGGCAAACAATCTAAGGTCCCTAACTTACATTCATACATACACAAATAGAACTTTCTTTTGGTGGTATTTGATTGCCACTGAGTTTTTTTTATTTTTTTCTAAATAAACGAAAAAAAAAACTGAATATTTAGAATAAAAAACAAGTTTTTCTTTGTTTCGGTTACAGAATTTTGCAAATGAATAATTGTTCTTCATAAATTTAGGTCAAAATGTATTCTGCTACATTTATTTGGTGAAAATAACCAAAATCAGTGTATCTTATTTAGTCTGTGGGAAAGTTGTAGAGACCACAAACTCTGGTATATATCTGAAAATCGATCAATCATGCTGTATTGATGGCCAATCTAATTTCTTAAAGCCCAAAGGCAAATGAACAGTTTAATGTGGATACAGCCCTGGCCAATTGCAAGGGAAGACAGTCCCATTGCATCACTGGAGGGTTTCACCTGAACGATTGGAAGGAGGCAACCATTTTGTCCATGAGCCTTGTGACCACTGGCATTGAGGAAATTGGGGACTCTGCGTGCTTGCTACCTCCCCTGGAACTTGATAGTCAGTGGGTCTAGAAAAAGGGAACACTGGCTAGTGTTCCAAAGAGTATTGTCCAAGTGCTGCTACTGCAAAGGACTTTGCTCAGCTATGTTACCTTTGGGCTGTCATCTGTCATTTTATACCTGAGGAGCTCAGCCCTGTATCTACTACTACTTCTAAAGGGACTTTGCTCACTCCTAAAACGACTTGCTGCTATATGTTACAAGGAGGTCTGTTACCTACTGTCAGCCAAGACTTCTACAGTGTTCTACTAAGAGATCAGCTAGATGTCCTTAGTGTGAATAGTTCTGATTTGGAGTATCCCCCATACAATTCCCCATCCCTATCCCTAGTTCTGCAATAAACTCCATAAACAAAACATCCCCTAGACTGGTCATTGAAGACAACGAGCTGAAATGTGTGTGAGTGTATTTGGCTGAAGAAATACACTGTGCCTGGCTGCTAGATGAGTAAAGGGGAGCCTGTGGACATCATACAAGGGGCCCTTGTGAGGGTAGCGCTACATGGATGTAGCATTAGCTACATACAGTATACAGCGTTACGTACCAGGAGGTGTACAGAGACTTCCTGTCCTGTTCCCAGAAAAAAATCAGCCATTCACGGGAAGTCTTGTACTTTATTAATTCATAAAAGGCTTTTTTTGTTTTGCTGATGAAGGATGTCACTATCTCCATTTCAGCCAATCGCAGGAAGCCTTGCATTCTTTCATAAAAACACAAAGTGGAGTCTAGGGATGTTATGCAAAAAGGCAGGTGAAACCTCTGTGTAGCACCCTTCTAGTTTAGCTAGGGGGAGCTAGACCCTAATGGTTAGTTAGGAGCAGGGGCGGACTGACAACTCATGGGGCCCCTGGGTAATAGGGGATTATGGGCCCCTGTGTCCTTGCCCACACTCAAAAAAAGCCTATAAAAGGTACCAGGGGCATTTCATGGGGCCCCCTACTGACCCCGGGTCCTCGGGCACTGCCCGAGTATTCGAATGGTCAGTCCGCCCCTGGTTAGGAGCTGATTAGCAGCTCAGGTGAGATAGCCAGATGGGTCAAATTCTGGTCAGGACTGAAAGACTCTGCAGGCCAGCCCCTCTGGAATTTCCCCCAGCTCTGAAGCTTTCAGGGGAGGGACTTGGAGGCAGTGGGTGGATCTAAGGAGTGGCTGGCTACACTCTTGAGGGACCTCGTCCAATTCCCAACAGGAGGCTTGGCAAGGAGCTGGGACTCGCTTAAAAGTGGAAAAGCTTGCTCAGTAGCTGAAGTGTGGTGGTAGGAGAGGAGTGTGGAGCAGAAAGATGTGAGGCTGGAGGAGGAAGGCTGCCAGAAGGCCTAGTGGAATAAGGCCTGCCTGTGAGCTTGAAGCTGGAAAGGAGGAAACCTTGGGACTCATTGGCCTCCTGAGAAAGGACCGCCTGTATGTCAGGGTAGGAACAGCCCAGCTTATCTCCTGCTCAGCAGAAAGTCTCTAGATTGCTGGATGAAGACAAGTTAACCACTTGGCGCCTGGCTTATGGTCAAATGACAGCCGGGCGAATACTTCGTCCCTCTGAGAGGGCGTCATATGATGTGCTTCCAGGATCGTGCTTTGCGCGTGCCCGCAGGGACACGCTTTGGCAAGATCTGTCACCGGCTGTGTACCTCGGACATGACCGATGACAGATCTGTGTACCGGCCCTGTTGCCAGTACCATGTGACCTGCTGTGACCAATCACAGCAGGTCACATGACAGTTGTAAACAATGGATGGCTTCCTTTCCGAGCACTTTTATCCCTTTCCTGCCCAGGCCAATTAATTACTAATAAACACTGCATGTTTATATAAATATTTAGATAATACAGTAATACTGTATATATACATTCCTTGTAAAGAAGGAAGCAGAGTGATTTTTACAGATTCACTTTTCAACAGAGTTTTGTTGAAAATGTTTGGCAAGGCAGAACAATTGATTTTTAGTTTTGTGTTTAAGGGAATTCTAGTGTGGCATTTTAGTAGGGTGCACTGGGGTTGATATACTAAACTGGAGAGTGCAAAATCTGGTGCAGCTCTGCGTAGAAACAAATCAGCTACCAGTTTTTTTTCAAAGCTTAATTGAACAGGCTGAAGTTAGAAGCTGATTGGCTACCATGCACAGCTGCACCAGATTTTGCATTCTCCAGTCTTTTTGTTTTTTTTTTTAACATTATTTATAACATAAGTTTTCGATAAGTGCAGAAGCAGAGGACAGGAGTCGAACTAAGTACATTCAAATTGCATAATAAAGCAATTGTAATGACAAAACTATATTGTATCAAACATTAAGTCGAGAACCTTGGCTATAAGGTAAACCATCATAACTATACAAATGAGATTGGCATCCTTTCTGCGTGTACAGAAAAAGAGGAATAGATAAAAGAAGATGAAGAAAGTAAAGAAAGAAAACAGGTACGAGGGTAGAGGATGGGACTTCAAGCCACTGAGTGTTGCTGGGATTCATAATCACTAGAGCAAGTAAAGAGGAACTAGAGGAACTATTGATGGCAGAACCTGTTTTCCTGGCCACAAACTGCAGCCATGATCCTTTCTATTGAGTGCAATTCGTCAATCCTTTTAAACCACATGGAGAGACATGAGGGAGTCTCCTGTTTCCAGAGAGATGGTATGCCGGCTTCAGCAGAATTAATCAGGTGTATTAGTAGGGAGTTCTTGTATTGTTCCCTTGGGAGGTCTGAGTGGAGCAGTAGATTTCTAGCCGGGTCCTCTTCTAGGTCAAAATCTGTCAAGCGTTTAATAGTCACTCTAACTCGTGACCAAAATTGGCTAGTTTTCTACAGGACCAAAAAATATGGTGTAACGAACCGCCCTCTTCCTTACAACGCCAGCAGACCTTCGTTACCTCCGGATAGATCTGATGGTACTCTCCAGTTTTAGTAAATCAACCGGAATGTGTTCAGTTGACCCCCATTGCCCCTACCCTGGGTTAATCAAACCTCATTATTGTCACAAAGGCTGCCACCCTCTATATGAATGTGCTGCTTTGGCACAATGCATATCCATGTGCAATTTAGCATACATTTAATGTGCGTGAGTTAATGTACTGCAATGGAACAGCACAGTGTGTAGAGAACTTTTAATAGAAACTTTCAGTGGTTACATATTTAAATATATTATTGAAATGTTTACCTTTAAGAAATTTTAGATGTAGCTTTCCCATGGCTGAATAAAGTTTCATATTTTTAACTTTAGTAATTCTCTATTTCCAGTATTGATTGTATTGATACCAGTAAGTGTGGACAAAAAACCTTCTAATAAATGTCAGAATCAGTTGTGAATTATGTTGTCTTCAGTCAATCTGAACAGACCTATAGCCTTGCAATGATAGAAAGGTACAAGAGAACATAATCATTGCATGGTGTTAAACAGAAGAACTTGAATAAATATGGAATAAGTATGTCTACAGAACAAAAAAAGGATTTTTTTGTAGTTATTTTAAAAAAATTTTCTTTACATTCATTGAAAGACATGGTGGACATTTTTAGATCATGGCTACTAGATTATAGAACCACCTGCAGGAATAGGACAACAGATATAGAACAACTCCTGCTGGTGGCTGAACCCCCCTCCCCCCTCCGAAATTCCTATCTTTTCAAGGCAACGCAATTAATAGCAAAGCAGTATATATCCCCAACACTGGCATTGCAAAACATCTTTGAGGAGAGGGTGTTGTGTCCTTCAGAGTAAAGGATTTTATAGTGAGAACATAGAATACAACAGAGATCCTTAGATACTGACCAATGGGGGGTGTCTCTAAGCAGTGTCAAAAAAGGGGTGGGCATAACCAAAACATAATAGCAAATGGCCCTTCACTGACAAGGGCACCTAAACCTCAACCTGCAAAACTTTGGGTCCAAAACTAGTATCTGTAGATGCAACATCAGCTTTGTAAAACTTGGTACATGTATGGACAGAGGTCCAAGGGGCTGTAATTAATGAACAGAAGTTAACTGCTGTAGTGCAGAATTCGGGGATGGCTTATTTTAAAGCTCTTTTACTTTATATAAAAGAAAATGTGAATATAATATGAATACCTTATGTAAAAATTGTAATCTTCATAGTATGGACACAGAAACTCTTCTGCAGTTAGTAACCTGGGGACTGCAACGAAACTGCATGGATGAAGTTGTTATACTCTATACCATTAGTTCAATTCAGCAATCATTTTGTTACAGGGCAGAGGTTTCCTTTTAACCACTTCCTGCCCAGCCTATTGTAAAATGATGGCTGGGGGGGACTTTTGTTGTTATGGGTGGACGTCAAATGTCATCCTCCTGGAACGTGCCTTGTGTGTGGCTGTGCAGCCGCGCTGCAGCGAAATCTGTTATTGGCTGTGTCCGCTGGACACAGTCGATGATAGATTGCTGTACCAGTCCATTGCTGCAACCATGTGATCACTGTGACCAATCACAACAGATCACATGATAATTGTAAACAATGAATGGCTTTGATTCATGCCATTCATTGTGTACTATTGTGTTGCTAGGTGTGATTGGTCACAGTGATCACATGGTACATACAGGACCAGGTCAGCCCATCTGTACCATGTGATTAGCTGTGGTAAATCACAGCTGATCACAATAATACACACTGAATGAATCATTTCAGTCAGTAAAAAATGGATGCTTGTACCTGTCAATTTCACTGGTATAAGCAATTGTAATGTGTAAAAAAAAAAAATCCTGATCACTTCCTCTGAGTAGTACAATTTTAATATGGTAACATTGTATTACTCTGGCCAGTGTGTTAAAAAAAATTGTTAAAAAAAATAGAAAAAAAAATTTGTAATTTTTTTTTAACATGCTGTCCCCAGTCAGTGTCCCTGTTCAACACACACCAGTTATATGATGCCATTGTACTGCACTAGTAACAGTATGTAAAAAAAAAGTGTTTTTTTTTAATTTCTTCATTTTTCATGAAATTATGACAATAAATTACAACTTCCAAAAATTTTTCATGCCTCTTACCAAACACATTGGACTGTCTACTTTCCAGATAGGGTTATTTAGGGGATATTTGTCCTGACATTTTTAGAGCTCAAGAAATGAGATCCACCAGGAAATGAGGCCATCAGTACATCAGGATTGATCAATTTTAAAATATATACCATAGTTTGTAGACTCTATAACTTTCCTACATACTAAATAATAAACACTGATTTGCGTTATTTTCACCAAAGAAACGTAGAATATATTTTTTGCATAAATTTATGAATATAAAGATTATTTATTTGCAAAATGTTATGACAGAAACAAAGAAAAATGCATTTTTTTTCAAACTTTTTTGGACTATTTTTGTTTATTTAGCAGGAAATAAAAGAACCCAGTGATGATTAAATACCACCAAAAGAAAGCTGTATTTGTGCAAAAAAAATTATAACAATTTTTATATTGGTACAGTGTTGCATGACCGCTCCCTACTCCCAGGATTTGGCTGACAGCAGCTGCCCGCTGCTACCTGTGTCTCCTGTGACAGCAAGGAAAGAGACCTGTGTTTCTGAATGCAGGACAGCGCAGGGCAGTGACAGGACTCGGGTAAGTGTTTTGGGATGGCTGGGGGGAACAGGTAGTGTAAGGATTTTATTTTAATGCAGATAATGCAGAAAAACCTTTGTTTGCTGAACCACTTTAACTTCTGCTGCTGTGTGTAATAGTGAGTTGATATGTGTTTAGTTTTGGTTACAATATTTCAGGAGATGAAAGAAAGATAATCTTCAATTAATATAAAATGAATCTCCAGGTAAAATTTTTTGTTGCCTTAGATTTGGCCTCTGCTTAGAAATATTAGGGTAGATAAAGGGGTGTGATAAACAGCTGCAAGAAAACACATTGGGGTGGATTTAAAGGCAAATAGAGCAGTTGCGCTCATTTTCCTTCCATATGATTGGATGATGGAAATAAGCAGAGCTTCACCATATTCACTAAGCTCTGGAGAAAAATGTGTGCAACTGCATTCCCAAAGTGCACAGTCTGTTTGCCTTTAATAAATCCACCCCAATATGTTTTCTTGCAGCTGTTCATCACATCCCTGTTGTTAAACCTAAAACTTTGAGCAGCTCCCCACATTGACGAAGTGTACAGGAAGTTGATTCTCGCATGTTATGCAAATGACATTTTCTGAACTGTTGGCTTTATACTGGCAATACTTGGCTGTTTCAATGCAATCAATGAGTCTAAACTCTTTACGACTTAATACATCCTTGGTGTGTGGAACTCCTCTACAGAGGGCCTTCACCGGGTTGGGAAGTGAATAAATAAAGGTGTTCCGTGCCTTGCAGTTGAACAAGGCTCTTCTCATGACATTATCGCAGTCAACATCCAGGGAACTTGTCAAGTGCTTCTTCTGAAAAGTTTTCCAGTCTTGACATAAGGACGTGTGGGTGAGGCTCAAAACAACTGCAAATATCAGGAGAATGGAGGATTTTGGAAACATTCTGGAAGTCATGATCTGAAAAAGGAGACCAAAGAAAATTATGCTATTCTAAGTGGTTTTCATAAGACATTAAATAGAAAAACGAAAACAAAATTCTTCTTAACCTTTATTCTGCTTTTAATATGCTCACCTTTACTGACAGTGCCAGTGTTCATATTTTTCACATGAAACACCAAAAACACAGAGTACAGATGGATCTGTATCTTTGTGGCAGTTGTGGTGCACCGCAACAATCATGTGTTGGAGATGTGTGCAATGTGTGTTAATGTACATTGCAGTAACGTGTGCAAACAGAGGAGTCTTAATGGGCCCTAGGAGCCTATTTACACTTCTCTGTTCCAGTGAATGGCAGTAATGTGTGTTTATTGTCATTGTTACTGCAATGCATATCACACCTCATGTGTTAGCACTGTTCTGGTGTAGAACACAAGAGCTCACAAAACAGTGGATTATCTGGTACCATGTGTCAAAAGCTTTTTAACCCCCCCTGTGGACCACGCGCCTACAATGGGCAGCCCATACGGGCACAGAGACGTACCTGTAAGATGCTGGCCTCCTCCAGGTACAGGGTGCGCTCGCACTCCCACACCTGCTGATTCCCGCTGTGATTGTACAAAGCAGGCGTTTGTTAGCAGGTCCCGGCCAATGGTTCATGGCCGGAGCCTGTTGATCAGCTGTGTCCTATCACAGCCCAGAGCCCTGTGTTGACAATCAACACAGGACTCTGTACAGAGAGGACAATCTCTCTGTTTCTTCTCCCTGCAAAGAGAGAGAAGAAACAAAGAGATATTGGGTAAAAACAGCACACATTACACAAATTAACACTTGTTATTCACACATTTAACCCCTTGATTACCCAAGATGCCAGCCCCTGTCATTAGTACAGTGATAGTGTATAGTATTATTATCACTGATCACTGTTTTGCTGTCACTGATGATGTCAGTGACAATTAGTTCCCACCCAATGTCAGTTAGTGTTAGATTCCCTGCCACACTATCACAGTCCCACTATAAGTTACTGATCACCACCATTAGTAGTACAAATTCCAGTATATAGTACATACCATAGTTTGTAGAGGTTATAACTTTCACATAAACCAATCAATATACACGTATTGGGATTTTTTTTTTTTTACCAAAGACATTAGCAGAACACATTTTGGCCTAATTCATGAAAAAATTTGATTTTTTAAGAACAGAAAGTAAAAAATATTGGGTTTTAAAAACTTTTTTGGTCTTTTTTCTTTATCTAATAAAAAATAAAACACCCAATGGTGGTCAAATACCACGTAAAGAAAAAAATGAAATAAATTTAGTTTGGGTACTGTGTTGCATGACCACACAGTTACCAGTTAAAGTAGCACAGTGCTAAATAGCAAAAAATGGCCTGGACACAGAGCTGTGGTTAAATGTAACTATATGCAAAAATTACTTATGGGCTCGTTCACACCATGCTGCAGAGATGTCAGTTTGTCTGCCCGCGTTCTGCAAGGGCACAGCTAAATCAATTGTTCTCTATGTGCTCTGTTCACACCACAACACTAGTATCACATGCAGATTTTTTATGCACAGGAATCTGCAACGTGTATAAAACTCATTACAGAGCGCATGAAAACTGATGTAAATTGATGTCTCTGCAAGTGAAATCTGTGTGTGTAGAAAAGCTGATGGAAACTGACGCACAGATTTTACTTGCAGAGACATCAGTTTAGATCAGTTTTCATGCGCTCTGTAATGAGTTTTATATACGTTGCAGATTCCTGTGCAAAAAAAAAATCTGCATGTGTTGTGGTGTGAACAGGGCACATAGAGAGCAATAGATTTAGTTGTGCCCTTGAAGAACACGGGCAGAAAAACGGACAATTCTGCACCATGGTGTAAATGAGCCCTAAAGCAGAACTAAACCCATCAATTCAATTGTTTCCCCAATCAGTTACATTCAAAGCATGCTGTGGCCAATGATAACTGTCACATTTGCTCTCAGCTAAACTGTCAAACCATCAAATGGCTGGTGTCATAACTGATCACATGTGTAGCACCATGGCAACTGCAGATCAAACAGAGGCTAAGGGCCGTTCACACCTTACTGTTTTACCAACGCTTGCCAAAAGCGTTGGTCCGGTGTTTGCGGAGTGTTTTTAACGCTCGGCAAACGCTCCGCAAATGCCGCATGCACGGTTTAGCAGCTGTTGCTAGGCGTTAAAAATGCCCCACAAACGCCTATAATGAAGTTTAAATGGTGTTACCCCCCTGCTCCGGAAACGCCCTGCAACCGCATTGCAACCGCGCTGCAAACGCCGGCCGGGCATTTGCGGAGCGGCACCATGGACAAGAAAAGGAGGCTTCAACGTCTCCTGATTCGACCAGAGGCGTCCGTTTTGCCGCACCGCGACACGCCACACCGCTATTGCTCCCGTTAGAACAGCACCATGTGCTGCAATGGGCAGAATTGTCCGAGGCGTTTGGGAAGCGGTAAAAACGCTTCCCAAACTCCTTTCTGCCGCTTGAAAACAAGGCTAGTGTGAACGTAGCCTTAGATGGCAACTTCTTTGGCTGCAAGACTTCATTCACATGGGCAAACTATATCATATACCCATGCAGGGCCAGGTTTACCTGGGGGGATGCACAGGTTTTTCTCTGCATCCCCATACAGGCAGCCCCATTGATGTCAATTGAGACATAGCGGCTGCACAAATATAACCACTGCTCCCCATTTGACATCCATTTGGGGACTGGTGCACGTGGGAGTGTGTCTCCAATCTCACATTGTCTGCATTCGGGAACAGGGATCGGCACCCAAACGGAGGTCATAATGGGAATAGGAGCTATGTTCATTAAGCCGCTGTGTCCCAATTGGCATCAATGGGACTGTCTGCAAGGGGATGTAGGGAACACTTCTGCATCCCCGTGCAGGTGAACACAGCTCTACATGGGAGTACTGTATAGTACACCCCGTTTGAACCAGGCCTCAAGTATAAAAGGGGTTAAGTTCCACTTTAACACAACATTTGTTATTTTTCTGAGTCTCAGTGTTGTATAATTGTATTAGCTGTTGATCCTTCCAGCAGATACATTATATTTTCACTTTCTGTAACAGGCCAAATAATCCAGCAAAAGCTGTTACATGCTTTGTGACAAATACTGCTAGGGATGCTTACTTTACTAAGTCATTAGTTTCTCTCTGGTTTAAACGTTTTTCTTTTTTTTTTTTAGAAGAAAAGAACACTGTTGCTGTAACACCAAAACATTTTTTAGCTGAGTTTGGCTTTAATTCTAATCTCTTTTAGGGCTCATGTACACGATAAACGCACGTGCAGCGTTTTTTTCAGCAGCCCCTGATCTCTCCTCTCCCCCCCTCTCTCTCCCCCCCCTCTCTCTCCTCTCTCCTCTCCCCCTCTCTCCTCCACCCTCTCTCTCACCCCCCGCTCTCTCTTCTCGCCCCCCTCTCTCTCCCCCCTCTCTCTCCCCCCTCTCAATCTCCCCCCTCCCCCCCCCCTCTCAATCTCCCCCCTCTCCCCCTCTCTCTCCTCTCAACCTATCTCTCTCCCTCGCTCTCCCCTCCCCTCTCTCTCCCTCCTCTCCCTCCCCTCTCCCCTCCCCCTCTCTCTCCCTCCTCTCTCTCTGTCTCTCTCTCACTCTCTCTCCCACACCCCCCCTCTCCTCCCTCTCTCCCTCTCCTCTCTCATCCTCTCTATTCTCTCTTTTCCTCTCGCCCCCCCTCTCCCTCTCCTCCCCCTTCTCTCTTTCTCCCCCCTCTTTCCATCCTCTCCCCCTCTCTCTCTCCTCTCTCTCCCTAATCTCTCTCTCCTTCCCTCTCTCTCTTCCCTCCTCTCCCTCTCTCTCTAGCTCCCTTCCCCCCCTTATCTCCCCCCTCTCCCTCTCACTCTCTCCCTCTCCCACTCTCTATATCTCCCTCCTCCCCCCTCTCTCCCCCCCTCACTCCCTGTCTCCTTCCTCCCCCTCTCTCTCCCTCTCTATCTCCCTCCTCCCCCCTCTCCTCTCCCTCTGTCCTCCTCTCCCTCTCTCTCCCCCCCCCCGCTCTCTCTCTCTGCCCCCTCTCTCTCTCCTCTCCCCCCTCTCTCTCCCCCCTCTCCCCCCTCTCCCTCATCCCCCTCTAATCTCTCTGTATCCCCTCCCCCTCTCATTTCTCTCCCCCCTCCATCCCTCTCTCCCCCCCTCGCTTTCCTCTCCCCCTCTGTCTCCTCTCCCCCTGTCTCTCTCTCTCCCACATCTCCCCCCTCCCCTCTCTCTTCTCTCCTCCTCCCCCTCTCTCCTCTCCCTTCTCCCCCCTCTCTCTCCCCCTCCTCTCTTTCCCCCTCCTCTCTCTCTCTCCTCTCCCCCCCTCTCTCTCTCTCGCCCCCTCTCTCCTCCCCCCCCTCTCTCGCCCCTCTCCTCTCCACCCTTCCTCTCTCTCTCCCCCTCCCCACTCTCTCTTCCTCCCCCCTCTATTTCCCCCCTCTCTCCCCCCTCTCTCCCTCTCTCCCTATCTCCCCCCTCTCTCTCCCCCTCTCTCTACCTCCCTCTCTCTCTCTCTACCTCTACCCACCCACCTCTCTCTCTCTCCTCTCCCCCCTCTCTCTATCTCCCTCATCTCCCCTCTCTCTTTTCCCCCCTCTCTCTCTCTATGTCTCGCTCTCTATCTCCCCCCTCTCCCTCTCTCTATCTCCCTCCTCTCCCTCTCTCTCCCCCCTCCCCTCTCTCTGCCCCCCTCTCTCTCCTCTCCCTCTCTCTCTCCCTCCTCTCCCTCCTCTCCTTCCTCTCTCCCCCCTCTCTCCACCCCTCTCTCTCTCCATCCCCCCCCCTCCCTCCCCCCCTCTCCCCCCTCCCTCCCCCTCTCTCTCTTCTTCCCCCATCCCCCATCTCCCCCTCTCTCCCTCCTCTCTCTCCCCTCCCCCCCACCCCCCCTCTCTCTCCTTTCTCCCTCTCCCTCCTCTCTCTCTATCTCCCTCCTCTCCCCCCCTCTCTATCTCCCCCTCCTCTCTCCCCCTCCCCCCTCTCTATCTCCCCCCTCT